AGGCCTCTAGGTGATAGCTAAGCTCCTCTATTCTTCTTTGCTTCTCAGCCTGTCTTGCAGGAAGGCACAGGGTTTGCAAAATGCGAACAGAAGTCATATGATCCCCTTCCAGACCCATCTTCCACTCCTTGCATCCCATCTTCTTCCACAAGAGGAAAGTGTTCTACACTTCATCAGGAGCTCTGGGAGGCAAGTGAGCAGACACAGTTGTGTTGGATCTCTGTGGCTGGGAGTTTACCTGTTACAGCAGCTGACATCAAGCCCTTTGTTCACGGCTCTCTGGCGTATGCACTGTCCAGCCTATGTACTTTCTTGCCTGTCTAGATCCCAGTGGGCCCAGGTGTGCATGCTCTGTGGCAAGACTAAGACTTTCTATCTTCCAGTCACCCACGTCTGGGTATACAGGGCAAGATTATGTTAATTCTTTGGTGGAGAGGGCAACGTGTGGTTGACCTACACTAAACAGTATTCACACCCAAACCACTTTCCCCTGCTACCATTGTAAAGTTCTGTTTCTCTCACCTAGTCCAACTGGAGGTATTGGGACCAAAACATTAGCTTTCTTGTTAAATTCACTCAGCGAGACCGTCTGAGTTCCAATTCTGTCAGTTGAGGGTGCTCATCTTCCTGCCATCCACCACCCTCTCCATCTCATTTATTCACAACCCCCATAACCAGAGTAACAACAGCTAAACCCCAACAGTAAATTCGGAGTGCTTCATGTATCTTTTCAACAGTTTAAAAGTAGAAATCAGTATGATCCCACTATATAGAGGAGTAAACTGAGGCATGATACTTGTTAATAACTTACTCCACAGAAATTTGCTAGAGAGTGATAGACATAAATCAAGAAATCTGGTATCAACCACTCTCTTAAATGATAAGCTAATACACTGTCAATCTTGCTTCTTGTCAGAATTAAGTTGTTATGGACACAAATAAAGAACACAGAAGTAATGAACCTCCTTGTTTGTGAATGGGGCACTTTGGGGGCAGCTGTTTAACTAGTCACTCAGCCCTGGATGGTGTCCACCTCCAGCCTGTCTCACCATCTTATCCACAGGGACTTCATAGATCCAGGAAGCACATGCTGAGAACACAAGGAGAAGGGAATCAGGAATTCTCTGGAACACAGCAGCCCACAATCCTGGAGGACTTTTTTGCCAGGTCTCAAGTGTGTAGCCTTGAAGATACAACAGGAGAAACTGAGAGTCCCAGTCAGAGAAGAGGAGCAAGTGAAAGAGGTCAGGTCCCAAACGACAAGGTGAGACAGGAGCCCAGTGAAAGCCGGGACGTTATTTCAAGGGTGGCTGAGAAGTAATTTATCTTGCTAACCATTAGGGCAGATCTCGGGAATGCACATTCCCATGGAGGGACTGACTTTGTCTCTGAACACCTTATATTCCAGGCTTTCCAGTCAGGCTCTGTGTGCTGATCATTTCATGCAAAGTGATTGGCCAAGGATTAGGTAGAAAAGTACAATTTAGCGGTAAAATGCTTGACAAAATTTTTTTCCTATCATGATCCATTCTGAGTAATGAAAGAGATGAAGAGGTCCTTGAAAGCCTGCTACAAGAATGCTCCCCCCCCCCCAGTGGGGCAGAGGCACAGAGGGAGGGGTGCAGTGGCTGGTCCCCAGTCCTGCACTCGGCTGGAGATAAGGAGGGGACTGCCATCAGCAAGCCAGGGCCCCCAAATGAATGACTATCTCTTGGTTAAAGCCTCTTTCTGAAGCTCCAATTCCTTCAGTTTATTTCTGCCTGCCCAGGCAGCAGGGACGCAGCCACAGGATGAGACCTGGAGTGATGAGGAACCTACTCCAGGCATGGCAGTGAGCAGCTAAGTTTCTCAGAGGCTCAGGATGGATTCCAGTCACGAATGGGATGCAAATAACAGAAAATTCTGCCAGACTGCCCTGGAGTTCAGCCAACTCCAACCAAATCCTCTTTACGTGTTCTGTCTTGGAGAATGTATATGCGTGTGTGTATCACAGCAGAGAATATGGAGACGTTCCAGAGACAGAAAGTGTTTCTGCTTCCTGCTCTCTGGAATGTAAGAGGGGGAAGAATATACAGAATGTACGTCCAAATAGGACAGGCTCTGGGCGATGGGTGAGAGACATGGAACATCTGGGGGCACCCCGGGGCGCTGCCTCCCCTGCCTTCACCAGCTGAAATGCTGTCCCCGAGAAGCCCACCCTGAGTACCCTCACTCCTTGCCACCTTTGCTGTGCCATGTCCTCTGTCCTTTCCTTAGCATCTTTTGGGAAATATTTGCCACCACATATTTCAATAACAGCGCTTTCTAGCTGCAGTTATGTCACCCTCCTGGCCACTCTCCTTTGCCCACTGAAGGTCTTGGCTCCTAGATGGCCATCTCTCTCCTCAGATGGCCCCAGACATTTCTGGGCAATGTTACCATCTCCAGGAGCCCCAGTGAACCTCCTGAAGGCCCCATCCCTGTACCTCTATGATCATTCTTTCACGCAGTCTCACCAGCTTCAAGGGCCCTCTTTTGGATTCCAGGATCTGTCGCTGTGTCGTGCCTCGGCCCCCTGCCCCACCAGCCCTGGTTACATCAAGAATCTCATCAGCTCCATACCTACCTAAGAGCAGCTTGAAACCCGTGGGGAAAACCATAACTATGCTGACTGCTGGCACTTGTGCCCTGCACCTCATGTGACTCTCATGGCTAGCATCTGCATCTCCTGTCCACTGACACTGCTCATAGCTCTCTCCTCAGCCTGCAACATCCATGTCATCTTCTCTCTCTTAGCTAATGACCTCCTTCCTTATGTCGTGATAAAACAGAAGGGCTTATCCTCACTAGTAAACTTTCCAAGGCCCTCTGCCATCCCTTTTAAGGCAGGATGAACTGTCCATGCTGTCCCTTCAGCTTAGGAGCTCACAGTCACTCCCAGAAGGAACTGGCACCTCCTGTCACCTTTCTTCCTGTGGTCACCTTCTCTCACTCCACCGTGTCGTTTCCCTCCTCACAAACATGGTATCATTTTTCCCATCTCACTGTGATGCTGTTATCGGTTATGCTTTTAATAATATCTTTATTGGTTGCAGATGAATATTAAAGTAATTCTAGGTAATATGATGGAATGTCTCAGATATGCTCTGAAACACTTTAAGGGATAAGGAGGGAAAGAAAAGTTAGCATCGAACCTGGGAGCAGAGCAGGGACCTACTCAGAGTTCCTTTTATTCTCCTTCCTTTGGGGTATGTTGTAAAGGTCCCGTGGCATAGAATCTCGGTCTCTTTCTTTAATCCCTTTCAAAAAAAATGTTCAGCTACTGCTGGAAATCTTACCCTTGGAGGCGCAAATGTCACCCACATGTCCCCAGGGGAATTCTCTTCGCCCTGCCCCTTCCCCTCCATCTAACAAACCTTAACATCACCTCCCAGGTCAGGATGCCTCCCTGGGCAGCCTCCTACCCGGCCTCTCTGCTATCCCCACAGCGGTTCTCCTTGGGTGTGGGTGTGATCCAGCACATACTGAAGTGTGTGCCTTTTCTCCATGGTGCTCTACCTAAATCCTCCAATAACTTCCCAAGGCATTCCAGATGAAACCTCCTGCCCAGCCCCTTCACCGCCACCAAGCTCTGCTCACCTGCTGCTCCCCAGACTTGTGACTTTCCCTGCCTTGCTCTCCCAGCCTCCCTGCTCGCCCTCTGCCCCAGTCAGGCCCGTCCTGGAACTCCTGGGAGTGTTTCTTGGGGCTACAAAGACTGCAGAGGTATCCACAGAGCAGCTGCCTGCATATCGTTAACCAGTTGTGGGCTCATCCAGAGGCATAACCTGAGGCCTGCAGCGGCTGGCTCTCCAGGGGTGTGTCTTGCTCTCCATATTTAAAATTGTTGTTTGTTTGTTTGTTTTGGAGATTGAACCCAAGGCCTTTACATTAAGCTATATCCCCAGACCTTTCTTTTTTCTTTTCTTTTCTTTCTTTTTGAGACAGAATCTTAAAAAGTCTCTAGGTTGCCTAGACTGGGCTCAAACTTGCAATCCATCTGCCTCAGCTTGCCAGAGTGCTGAGATTACCTCTTTAAAGACTCTCTCTTCAAATCCCATCACCTTCTGAGGGTACTGCCCCCAGTACCACAACCTATTAGTTGGGGGACACAAGTCAATCTTTCTGATAATTTGCTTGGAGTATATCTTTCCCACATGAACATAAGTTCCATGAAGGCAGGAAATCCTCTCATTCTTTTGCTCATCTCCATCCCTCAGGCCCTGAGGCCCTGAATCTTCTCTGGAGTGAGAAAACTCAGTTCCTACATGTACCTCTTGGTACCCCAACTTTCCTGTAGTGCTGTCCCACCGCCATCATCACCACCATTGAACCTCTGGTAACAGCAGAGGCCTGGATGCACTCCCTGAAAACCTGGGAGGTCACAGAGACACCACAGCTTTACTGTGTGTGTGTGTGTGTGTGTGTGTGTGTGTGTGTGTGTGTGTGTGTGTGAGTGTGTGTGTGATTGCCTCTTTATTTCTTAGGTCTCAGCCTCCTGCCAGGAAGAACAAGATGAGAATTCTGTCCCATCAGCAACTCTCATCCACTTTTCTCTGTGATGCTTTAATTGATGATTATTTATTTACCATAATAATCTAATTAATTTTCTTCTGAAGAGTTACCTTTTGTGTTTATCAGCCAAAATGCCAGAAGCAGGTAAATATCATTAGAGAAACCTACTTGGGCTGGGCCAGCTGCCATAGAATTAGACTGAGATGAAAGAGGTTTGGGTTGAAGCCCACTGATTTCAATAGCACTGAGGTCTTTCTGGAAAGAACATTTTCCTGTGTCCAGAGGAAAGGAAAGCTCAGGCGTCTTCTCAGTTCCTTAAAGAACTACCGTCTTTATCACCATCATTCCATGGTCATCATCATTAGCCTCTCCCCACCACCACTCCTGCTTCCCCCATCAGCATTAACACTGTCATCATCACCATCTGTCGGTGTCGCTCCCGGCCGGCAGGAAAAACACACGACAGATTCTGACGGTGTGCAACCTTGTCTTTATTTGTCTCCGCGTGGGCCCCGCGAGGCCTCTGCTTTGCCACCAGTCCTTTCTTGCCGGTGGACTTTCTCTCTCTCGTGCTTCTCTCTCGTAGCGGGAGAGGCACTCACTTTTATAGGGTAACAGTGGCCAATCAGTTTAAAGCGCGCGATGCGGGCTGACTGGCTAACATCAGTTGTTGCTAGGCAGACTATCTTACAGAGCGGGTTGTTTAAGTCGCCAGGGCAATCAGGGGGCAGGAAGCAGGCGCCAACTTGGCTCACTCGATGGGAGGGGTAATCTAGCTCGGGCTTTGCTCTTTTCTACAGGCCTCACGTCCGCCAAGTAAAGCGACCGGTGTCGGCCGCGGCTCCCAACATCTCCCCCTATTTTATTTACTTTGAATAAATGTATGCATCGCAGCCCACCCTGGATCGAGTGCAGAGGCTTATGCCCTGTGTTGAGGCCCACCGTAGGCCCTTGGCTTGGACCCTGGTCGGCCGTCCCCGGGTCCACCAAGGCCTTGAGACCCTCGTCCTTTTTCCAGGGCCAGGAGTGAACTGGACGGAACCTGGATGCACATAGGCATGCACTCATGCCCCTCCGTGTGATCCCCTCGGAGAGACATCTAGATCTGGGCAGATTCTAGTAATCCAGCGGCTTTCGTGCAGTATGGGGTAGGGCCTGGCTTAGGTCGAGTCGTGCTGGGGAGGCACGCTCTTACCCGTCATTGACTCACCTACCCTGCTGTGTGGTGTCAATAGGGAAGGAGTGCGGAAGACCCGCCACATCTAGACCCGGTCGTAGGCCAGTCGAGCGAGCCATGCGTAAGCCTGGGGGTCATTGTGCCCATCACGGGCTGCTGCCAGGGCCGCATGGGCAACCATGCGGACCTGACGACGTGCCGCCGCAAGGCGTCCATTAATGAACGATGTGACCCATCGGAGCAAGCATGGTCCTACAAGTAAGAGCAGAAGCAAGGAGCACAGGGGACCTAACAATGGTGAAATATAGGGGAGCAAGCCATTCCAGGCTCCCCAAAAGGGATTGTCTTGTAGTTCTTTTCTTCTCTTTTCTAGGTCTTCTTGCAGTTTCTTTAATCGGTCTCGAACGATTCCGGACTTGTTGGCATAAAAGCAGCATCTTTCCTGTAAGGCAATACAGATACCTCCCCTCTCTACAGTGAGTAGATCTAGGCCCCTTCTATTCTGCAGAACAACCTCTGCAAGGGAATCAATTTGATCTTGTATCTCCTGAAGGGTTCTCTCAACTATAGACATGTCTTCTATCAATTGCTTGGATAACTGAGTATATTTGGTTAATGAAACTCCTAGGCCCGCAGTCCCGGCGGCCAGGGCTCCAGTTATCCCCAGACCAGCCAAGAGAGGTAAAATCAGCACATCTCTCTTATGTCTTTTTATAAAGGTGTCCACAGCTCGGATGGGCATGGGTTGGTCCCCAGGGACAATACCAATGTCAGGCAACAAGTAAGCTAGGCCACATAGGCCGGTCCAATTACTGGGCAGGTAGGTATAAGCATGACCATTGCCGCAAGCAAATACTTTGCCAAAGGGGGCACATAGCGGCGAGCTACTACTTACATTGGTTATGGACTCACACGAGGCGACTGCCAGCGCTCCAACAACAATATCATAACTATTATTTTGTGGGTACTTTTGGAAACAGGATGCATTAAACTGTCCCATAAACTGGACCCGAAATGGAGGCCCATGTGAGCAATTATAGGGTGTGCTATAATTGTAAGGTTCACTTTCATAGTCTCTAAATGGCATGGCCAGCGGCCATGATTCTCCCATCATCATACACAGTCAACAATCGGAGGCCAGCCCTGGGTCAGTAAGATTGAGTGCTTTGTGGGTAGCCTCTAATATGGATTCAGTAGCGGGGTCAAGGTTAATGCCTCGGGATTTTGGGCGTAGGAGTGGATGGTAATTGACTTCAGGGAACGGATTTAATTGTTCCCATCGCTCGATGACCTGTTCCTGCTGGTACTGGTCTTGGACCCCTCCACCGTCAGAGATGTGAACGGGAGCGGTCATAGACCAACAGACCGTTTCTCCAACCTCTCCATTACAACCTGACTGCATGAATGGAGAACCGCCTACAACAGCGGGAATATGGTTAGGGGCAACAGGGCTTTTAGTTGTAGTTAGCGTTGCCATCCAATAGGTTGTACTCTTAAGTTTGCATTGTTTTGTCTCTGTATAGCATGTAACATGCATGGATTCCTCAAACTTAGTGCAGGGACATGTGGCGAGATCACCAGGCCCTGAGGGACTCACCTTAGGCTTAAGTATGCACTGATAGGATGGTTGACTAAATCCTCCTGCAGTGGAGGGGTACACAACTGAGAATGCTGTTTTATCCCCACAATCGGTCCCTGGTCCTTTTTTGGCGCTAGGTGGTATACTGCTTACCGTGCCACCTCCGCAATCGCACGGACTGCCAAGAAGGCTCGTGAGAAGATCTATTCCAGAAGCGGGGCCCCCCAGCCCCGCATGTACCATACTTTTCCTGAGGAGTGCTAGGACAATGCCCCCAATGAAAAAAGCAGCCTTTTTCGGGTTCATCTGGCTGTCAGGCCTGCTGCTGGTCTCCGGCAGGACAGGATTAGTCTTCAGTCGAAGGGCTTGTCGCACGCGTCAGTCTTTCTGGGACCCACAATGGTTCTTGTCCCGGTTCCTGCGGGAAAACACAAACCGCACCTTGGTTCCAGCTGACTACCGGATCCGGGCCCATCCATTGTCATGCTATAGATAACCGCGCCTTTGGAGGCAGGCCTTGGCTTACTCCCCCTTTTTGTTTTTTATTTTTATTTATTTATTTATTTATTTATTTATTTTATTTTTATTTTTATTTATTTTTTTTTTTTTATCGGTACCAGGGATCGAACTCGCGATTGCCTGCTTACAAGGCAGGCGCTTATGCTGCTGAGCTAAATCCCCAGCCCCTGTTTCCTCGACCGGCGTTTTTTTCAGCCTGCTCGGCAGAGAACTCTGTGTACCATGCTCGCCAATCAAGATAACTATCCGAAGGAAGGCACGCCTTGGCCAGCTGCATCCAGTCACCCGGTGTAAGAGGCTGAGAGGCAAGATTCTCTAGCATAGCTATGGTATAAGGAGCTGTGGGCCCGAAGGTCGTGACAGCGCTTTTTAATTCTCTGATCTGTTTTATTTCAAACGGTTCCCAAACATTGCGCCCTTTGCCTGGGGCCATTTGCACAGGGTATACTCCATAAGGACCGTAATCTAGTCCTTGCATCGGTGGATCCCCTCCGAACCATTGTTCACCCTTCCATAACCGCCCATGAAAATACCGTCCGCCCCGCGGCGCGACGTCATAGGACAGCGGTCGCGACAGAGTGGAACGGGGCGTCACTTCCTGTGCCGGCTGAGAGAAGGGAGGGTCCCCTGTAGCGGCCTCTCGGCGGGGAGCCGCTTCTGGAAAAGAGCTCCAGGGCGGAGCGGATGGCTCTCTATCTCCTCCCCGCCAGAGAGCGCTCGGGGGCCCTTTCTCCTCTCTCTGCTTTTCCCGGGCGGCGCACGCACACAATTCGCGGCGCAACTCGGCATAGGGGTTTTTGGCCTCTCGGCTTCCTGCCCCACCTTCTGGTTCCTCCTCGCTATCTAAGTCGGAGGACTCCAGAGCTTGGGTGTCCTCTATCTTTCCCTGGATTTTTTCCCCCTGGACAGATCCCTCCCGAGAGCATTCCGACTTTGCCTGCTCAAAAGCCTTGCGTGCGTCCATGATTTCCGCGTCTCTAACTGCCGATGGGAACCCCTTCCCCTCCCCTTCAAGGCACGCATGTATCATTTCCCACAGGGGGCGAATAGCCGGCGAAATATCGCCTCCCAATTCCGCCGAGGCGAGGTCCCCGCCTAACTTCTCCCATGACGGCAGGTTTAAATGCCCCGTGGGTAAAAACCAGGGAGCCACCCTATCTACCTCTGCTATGAATAGTTCCAGTGTTTTTTGACCTACCCTGAGGTCTCTAGCTTTTAAAAGCTTTCTAAGGGCCTTTACCAAGGGCCGCGCCTCCGCGCTCGGTAAATTACCCATTTTTAACCTCTAAGGGCTGTAACTCACCACGTGTGACTTAGAGAACCCGTCACCTACGTGTGAGCCTGAGGGGAGTCTAAAAGCCCTGTAGGTGCGCGCCACCCAGAGCCCAGGCTTATCCCCTACTCACCTGTCCGGCAGCACCACGCTGGAGCGTTGCACACCACCGAGGGGAGTGATCAGGTCCCCGTACGGGCCACCAGATGTCGGTGTCGCTCCCAGCCGGCAGGAAAAACACACGACAGATTCTGACGGTGTGCAACCTTGTCTTTATTTGTCTCCGCGTGGGCCCCGCGAGGCCTCTGCTTTGCCACCAGTCCTTTCTTACTGGTGAACTTTCTCTATCTCTCTCTGTGCTTCTCTCTCGTAGCGGGAGAGGCACTCACTTTTATAGGGTAACAGTGGCCAATCAGTTTAAAGCGCGCGATGCGGGCTGACTGGCTAACATCAGTTGTTGCTAGGCAGACTATCTTACAGAGCGGGTTGTTTAAGTCACCAGGGCAATCAGGGGGCAGGAAGCAGGCGCCAACTTGGCTCACTCGATGGGAGGGGTAATCTAGCTCAGGCTTTGCTCTTTTCTACAGGCCTCACGTCCGCCAAGTAAAGCGACCGGTGTCGGCCGCGGCTCCCAACAACCATCAGGTCCAATGTCATCACCATCCTCACCACCGACATCACTATTGTCATTGTCATCATCACCACCATCATTGTCATCATCTTTACAATCATTGTCGCTATTCTCATCACTATCATCATTAGCAGCAGCAACAGTATCGCCACCATCACGATCATAATTATCAGCATCATCACCATTACCATCATCATCATCATAAGCTCCATGACCATCAGCATCACCATCACAGTTGTCGTTATCACCACCATCACCATCATCATTACCATCATAATTATCATCAGCACCATCACCAATACCACCACCATCATCATCAGTGCACTTACCATGTATCCACTATCTATCAGGTCTTCTCTTGTTTTACCCACAAGATTTTCTAAAAATACCACTCAAAGTGGCACTTCTTTTGTTAAAATTTTTGCAAACTAACCCAGGTTATGAAAATACAGGTACATGCAGGACACATACATAGCATGTAACCATGAACCTCAGTGACGTACCATAAGCGATTGTCAGAGTAGCTAGCGCGGCTCACCCGTACACTGCGCGTGTCCAGTAGCAGCTCTCCAAGGGGAGCTAGACAGTGGTGTCCTTCAGCTGTGTAATGTTGGGGCCCAGCTAAAGGGGCAGCAGCTGCTCTGGAAGCTCTGTTTCTCACAGTGATGACAAAAGTGCAAGAAAACTAATAGTGCACTTCTGCCTGGCGGTGCACACCTGTAGCCACAGCACTCTGGGAGGCAGGAGGATGGCAGGTTCAGTCCTAGCCTGGGGCAACATAGAGAGACTCTCTCAAAATACGAAATAAAAAAGGTGTACGGATGTAGCTCAGTGTGAAGGACCATAGTTCACTACTCAGTATGGCAAATAAATAAATAAATAAAAATAAAAACAAAAAGCTATGCACGTGCTCCCGAGGCTGAATTCATCTGGCAAAGTGACGATCTCCCCAGGTGCCTACTGTTCAAGAGAAGTCATGGGGCAAACCTAGAGCCACCTGCAGGAAATTCTCTTTACACGTGAAGATGTGACGCAGTGCAAGCAGGCTAAGACTCTCACCTTCCTACCCCTTCCTCAGAGGTGAGGGCCCTCCTTGTGCCATCTCCTCTGCTAGGGGCCGCTAAGGTTGCAGGGTGTGAAGGCCAGAGGATAGTGGGGGAAAGGGCAGGAGCAGGGGCAGAGGTGTAGGGGCCCAAGACAGCTGCCTGGAGCAGCTCACATGGGACACGACTTGGTCTACTAAGGATTCTGATTCTGCTTCTGGCACCTTCTAGCTTTGTGATGCTGGGCAATCCCCCAAGTCCCCTAAGCTCTCTAAGCCCTCATGCCCGTGTATGTAAAGTGAGGAGAGTGAACCCCAAGGCAAGAATAAGAATGAATGAGTAGGACCCCTAGCCTACATTTGGACTAGAGTTTCTTTACTGCTGCTGCTGCTGGGGTGACAGGACTCCAGTGGAAGGACCCATAAGTGTGACTCTTATGCAGGTCTGGGTGACCAGACACCCTCCTGTGAAGAGCATGCAAATGAGGGATGGGAGAGTGTGCTGCCTGAGAGGAGGCACCGGGCAGGACCCAAGCAGAGCCCCGCCTCTGCCCCTCCCCGGCCCGGTCCTGTGTGCACACCACCCCTGCCCAGACCTCTTTCTTGTCACAGCCTGAGCACAAGTGGCTGTGAGTGAGCAAGCATGGCGACAGGGCTCAGATATTGCCGTGGCTTATTGGGCTGTTCTCAATGCCAGAGGGCAAGACGGAGGGGCTGTCTTCAGGATCAGGGTCTCTCTACCCTGACGTCCTGTGAGGGCTGCTAGCATTGGTGTAGGGGAGCCACAGGCAGCTCTGTAATCCCGTCATCTTGGTGCCTTCCACATACTGCTTTCTCAGGGCAGCATCCAGGGCAGGGCCTGCAGGAGACCTGGGGTCCTCCTCCTTCCTCTTGCTTGATACCATCTTGGTAGAAGAGCAGGGGAGAGATCCCTGGCTGGACTCCCAGGGTGTCACCTGCTGTGGGTGTGGGAGGACTTTCGCAGCTCTGTGGTGGACTTTCCATGTGGCTGAGGAGAAAAGGAAAGCAAGACTCAGCCCTAATCTTAGAGCCTCCGAACTCTGTGCAGATGGGCTGCCAGCCAGGCCCTGTGTGTTCTCCCTGAGCGGGTGGGCAGAAGCTAGGATGTGCAGACTTGCTGTCAGGGATCAGACCCAGGAAGTCTGCTGAGACCTGAGACAAGCAGCTGCAGAGCCCTAATGGTGTGACACTCAGCTCTCTGGGCTCTTCTGTAAATCAGTGACTGAGCCACACTCCATTCTAGAGATGCTGGGGTCTGTGCTGCTCTGCAGATGACCATCCACTCCATGTTGGCCTGGATTCTCCCACCTGCTCTACAGCCCTGGTGAGGGCAGATACCCACACACCTGGGCAATAGAAGATGCCCTGGCGCTCAGGCTGGGGCAGTCAGGACTCCATGGCAGAGCCCTCAGGCTTCCAGAGTCTGCAGGACCTGGTGCTCCAAGTCTGCTTTTAAAAAAATACACCTTGATAGATAATTCACAAACCACACAGTTCACTGTGGGAAGACACAGCTCATCACAGGTCATGTCCAAGCTTTGTTTCCACTATTGCACAGTCAGAAGTCTTTGCCCTTTGGAGGAATCAACTTTTTGGGGAGCACCTGGCCAAGGCCAAGAGGCATACAGGATCCCCATAACCTTAGATCATGGAATAGTATCAAGACATTTGTGCCTATCATATTAAAAGGGCACAGGCATTTTGTTCTTTGAAAAGTATTTGAGGGATTGGAATAAATACACACAGGAGCATAGATGTGCACACACCCTCAGACACACACAGGCACACAGGCATGTACGCAGGTGCATGTACATACAAAGGCACACATGCATACGGGTGCACACAGAGGCATACAGAGAAACAGGCACACACAGAGGCACGCATGCACACAGGCAAAATAATAGGTCACAGACACCGTGACAAAGATGGCCTTCTGATGACTGAAAATGAGAAGAAAGTCTCTCTCTCTCCCCCATTCTCTCTCTCTCTCTCTCTCTCTCTCTCTCTCTCTCTCTCTCTCCTCCCTCTCTCTCTCTCTCTGTTTCTTGCTCTAGCTCTCCCCCTCTCCATGAAAGGTCTGCTTGGAGATACACTTATCAGCCCTGTGGAGCCCCTTCATCCCTCTCTCCTTCAATCTTCCCCTTCCTGTCTCACTCCAGCCGCCCCAGGCCCATAATTAACTCTGGCCATCTCACAGCAAGTCCCACATGTGGACAGGCACAGAATGTCCATGTCTAGTTTGGTGTCCCAACCAGTCCCTAAACTGAGCCACCCTCATCTGGCAGATTGTATCATTGGTTTAATGATGCCAACATTATTCATTCAACAACAAGCGACTGAATGTTTTTTGTTTTTTGTTTTTTTTTTTTTGCTTTGACTTTGAAGGCTATTCTAGTTCAATAAGTGATATTTTACATTTGAAGCTGCTACTCTTGCAATTACAGAGATAGCTGTTAAAAGAATATGATATTGTAGGGGAAGTGTTAGGGTCCTGGACACCCTTTCCAGAGTTACACTGTGGACCAAACCTGAGCGTTTTAATCGGTTTTCTTTTCCCCTGTAATAGTTCAAGAGATTCATGTCAGCTCTGGACGTCACTCTCTGGTGTGGTTGGAGATGCTCAGGGGATTGACTTCTGCAGTATTTAGGGTTGCATTGTTGATTGTTTTGGGGATTTTATGTGTTTTGGTTTTAGTTTTGGTTTTGGAGTTGGGGATCAAACTCAAAGTCTTACACATGCCAAGTATATACTCTAACACTGAACTCCAGCCCAACCTTTTCTCTGTGATTTTGAACCTTTGGCTTAAGGAATGTACATGGAATCAGCATTCACAAATCACGTGAGCAAAAATCATAACATTGTCTATAATTAAATTTAGCATCCTCCTAAACCTCATTTTTGCCTAATTATAGGAAACCTATTCTAATCAATTACAGAATAATTCAGAAAATTTCAGGATCTATTAACTGTGCATACAATCAGTTAAAATCAGATTTCACTCCCTTTTCCCTGATGGGATCTCATTTCAGGGGCTCCTGGGTGTTGGTGGCTTTCCTAGGGTGGCAGGTAATAAGAATGGCCCAATTCTTTCCCCACCTACCTCAGCTCCGGCCTCCACCAGGAGATTCGCTTTGGCCAGTGGGATATTAGCATATTCTCCAAGAGGCAGTTTGAGGCTTCCGCTGTGCTATGTGGTTAGGCTTGCTTGGTTTTTCCCTCTGCCCTTGCCAAGATGGACATGTCCAGGCCAGCCTGCCAGTTCCAGGAAAAGACTGAGAGACAGGTGCAGCAGAGCTGGCTCATCCCAGGTGTGGCCAAGACCATCTTAGAGTGGCCAGCACTCCCAGATGTGTGGGAGAGCAACCCACAGCTGTGAAGGCACCTGGGAGCATCCATTTTGGGAGTTGTAGCTAAACAGATGTTTGTTATTTTTATGCAGCAATTCGTGGCATTTTTGGAACTATCCTCTGAGGGAATAAAAAGTCCTCTGCTCCCAGTCCAGTTTTGACATCTATTCCTAGTGAGATCCAAAGGCCAGGGCTGCCCTCCCTGGTAGACTGAGGTAGCCATAGGTCTGGATGGCTTCAGCCTGAGAAGTCACCATGATATCTGCAGCTCAGCTCCGCATATCCTGGTGCCTTGGAGCTGTTCCGTGTCTCCCTCCACTGGTGCTCCGTCTTCTCAGGGGAGCAGGAATGTCCTGTTTGGGAGCTGTGAGAGATTTAGGAACATCAGACAGTCCTGTTTTTTCCCACCCACCAGGAAAACATCGCCACTCTATTTCTCCAGTGTTCAGAGGCACAGATTCTCCCAGACCTCCTGGAAGAAGCAGGCTCAAGCCTCCTGTGCTCAGATTCCTAAAGCCTATCGTGGGGACCCATGTCCAACTCTCTCTGATCCCCCTGAGAGTAGTTTTGCATTTCTTCCTCTGTTATACTCTTGTACCTCCTACCTAGACACCAGTCCCCTCCTAAGGGATTCTACAACACCTAAGCTCCATTTTGCTAGCCTGTGTTATTGTCATCCTTTGAAGTGGGTGAGATGATCTTTCATGTCTTCACTTCCCAAAGTATTGTTGATGACACACAGTCTTATCTGAGGCCCTACAGAGCTTAGCCTCCCACCCTCCACACTAACTTACTTTCAGACAATTCAAGATGATTCTCTGTGATGAGATTCCAGAATGAATTTAACCCCCAAAAGCCAAGAACTTGACTTCCATTATGTCTCTGGGTTCTTTACATAGCAGTTATGCCTGTACATTAATAATGGAAGAGAGTGGTAACTGCATACAACAAAGAAATTGTACATGGGGAAAAAATTCAGGCAACTGGCACCAGTTTATCTTAACATGAGAATATGATTGAAAACCAATATGTTTCTTTCTCTCTTCTTTACTTGTTTTCATTTGTGTGGTATTGCTGTTCTGTTTTGATTTGAGGAGACTGGTCAATCGGAGTTTGGAAAAAGTGATGAAGAGTTTGAGTAGAGAGGAAGAGACAGTTGGCTTGGCTGAAAGCCAGCAGGGGAAACTGAGTCCCAGTGTGAGAGTTGATGCTGTCTGGGAGTCTCTGCTTTGAAGCTTCCAGCTTTGAAGTCTTGTGATCCTTGGATTTGTGCCAAGAACAATTAAGGCCAGAGACATATTTCTGATTTTACCGAATTGACCATCTCTCCTTTAGACGGGTAATTTTCCTTGCAGTTCCTAAATCTGATATATTCTGTAATTGTTGGGCATTAGTTTGACAGTGGGCATCAGATGACATCTGGACCCCCATGCAAACAGCAGAGTGTAGCAGGAAAAAATTGGAGGCTTTAAAGTTAGGCCACCCAAGGTTGATATTAGGAGGTTTCCAGCTAAAATGTCTTATAACAGTGACTTCAGCCTTAGGGATATTTATTGCTTAGTCAACAATGAGTCTGGGAAGCAGGCAGTCCTAAAATTGGGTTGACAATCAGTGATGCTGAAATGGCGAGCAGAAACACTGAAATGACACCCAGGATTTGGAGACAAAATTTTTTGTGTTGATGGGCACTGATCAGGATCATTCCCAGAATATCAGACCCTGATCTCTGGTGGTTTAGGGCTTATAGGGGAGAAGCAAGCAGGAGTTATGGAGGCAGAATGATTTGTCAGTTGGGGATTGGTTTATACCACGTGCATCATAGTGACCAGCTGTGCATCACAGTGACCAGCCATTTCTAAAAAACAGGAGCCATCAGAACTAGAGCAGAAAATATTTCCTGGAAAACTAACAAATTGAATTATACTGGGAGGACCAGTATTTTCTGTTACAATACCATTCTGAACCTGGGCGTGTTCTAGGCTTCTATTTTTCCTTTTGACTCTGTTGAACTTAATTATCCTTAACATCTCATAGATTAAGGAGGCTGCCACTGATCACACAGCTTACCCTACATACCATTCCACAAGCAGGATGGAGAAGAGGATTTAGGGGTATTTGTCCTTAAATTTCCCTGCCACCAATCACCTTTGATCAGGAAGAAACACTTTCCTAGAATCTCATGGTTTTCTCTTCCAACTCATTGGCCAGAATTAGTCATGTGCTTTCCTAAACCAACCCCTGGGAAAGGGGAAACAAGGGTCTTGTGACCAATCATAACTCATTCCCTGAGGCCAAACAGATTTCTATAAAAACCTAGGGGTTGGAAGCTGGTAAGCAGGTAATAGAACCTCCACTCTAGTTTCTAATTTGGGCCTCCTTTAGTTGCCTGTGTGATCCTGAGCAAATCACTGGGCTTTTCTGAGCCTCATTTTCAGCATTTGAAAAATGGGCCCATCATACTGCTTCACAGGGTTGTTGAGAGAATGAAATCAGATAATGTGCATGCTGTGCCATATCCTGCTCTGGAACAGTGGCCACACTTTCCTTCCTCTGTTGCATCACCATAGACAGCCAGAGGAGAGAGCAGCCTGCGGGAGCCACTTAGTCCCAGGTCTTAATTTCAATAAACTCTTTCCATGA